AACTGCACGGCATGTATGGACAGACTTTTGCTCCTCATGTGCAGCAAAGCAATCCAACCTTGTTGAGAAAAGAGCATTATGAATTATAGAAAGACTCCAAGGGCAGAGGATGAAGGCAGCTCGAATAGATCTGTAGATCTGAAGGAATAAGGCAATGTCATATAAGAGAGGAGGACTGAGCTTTGTCTATAGAGTCAAAGTAAGGCCATGTGAAAAAAGGTATCCATGACGGAATAATGGCACGCTTGTGGCACCAGGATACAATGCTTATTGTAAAGTGGTTACAGATGGGGGGGCTGCTGGGTTGGAGAAGTGGTGCAGAGCCTGCCAAGTGCTGTGATTGGTGGACAGGGAGGATGAGGAGGGGTTAACTGTGATGCGGGGGAAGCGGTAATGCATCCTCAACACACTGCAAATATGAGATAGGCAGAAAAAAAATCAAATTAAAAGAAAGTGAAGGCATGCTGGTGGGGAAAAGAGATCAGGGAAGAAGGAGTGCTGAGCAGTGGCAGAAAAAATAAAGAGAGAAGGTGAAAAAATAGAGAGAATGATGGAGAGGTGGAGGATGTTGTTAGTTGGATCTTTTATCCTCCCTTCCTCCACCTCCCTGCAGCCTCGTTCTCCTATTTTCTCCTCTGCAGTGGAAGATCGACACTTAGAACTGGGACACTTCATTCATTTATGAAACACACATGCACTGGCATCGCAACAATTTTAACCTTTTCACTTCACTCATTTATTCCTGTTTTTTTTTTAAGCGCTTATTGGTGAAAGGGTATTGATGTAAGGGGCTTGTCTATTTCACCCTTTTGCAACTTGTACATTTGGTACAGTTGTGTCTTTTTTAGGATTTTTTTAATCAATTGTGCATCAATTGATGCCAGGCTTTTGGGTCATGTTACCTGCTTTGACATCTGATCACTTCTCTCTTTGTGCTGTTTTATTCAGGTGCTCATTCACTGTTATTTCTCTATTGGTACAATCAGGTCAAACAAAGATCAGAACTACATATGAAAGAAAATTATAATAGAAATCAGTAAGTTTGCTTTGTTTTTAAGATGATCAGTGCTTTGACTTTTTCCAATAAAACTGTGTCAGCAGAAAATGTCAAATTAGCCAGCCAGATAAACGTGTGCATGCTTCTACATAAATGGTCAGTGTTGTTTTCGGTGAAAACCTGCATTATTTTGGTAAGCTGTGCAGTGGTAAAACACAACCGCAATTTGTGGAAGCAATTTTGGAAAACCGGCTGCAGTTTTGTCAGAGTTAGAACACATTTTGTAGATTTAACAGTTTTGTAATGTAGTATCACTGTCAGGATGGGTTCATCTGATGTTTTGGGGCTGTGCATGTTCTCTGTAGGCGGGGTGTTGGTGTGTGGTTGCAGAGAGTCTCGACACAAACAGGAACTCAGTGTGTGTGGTGTGTCGCTCTCTGCTTTTTTGAGGGATGTTGACAAGTCAAAAGTGAAGTGCTAGAGAGTTGAGACAGTCAAACAGAGTCCACTCAGGTGTAGTTTAGTGAAATGCATCAGAATTTTGATTTCAAACACAGGCTGGAAAAATCTGCAGTTTGAATTCCAGCCATCTGTCTGTCTTTTTACAAAAGCCGGCTTTTAGGGTTTTTTTTAAAGAACCAGATGTAAAAGGCTGAAATGAGAGTAGAAGTCAGGTTTAAATATTTAACAATCTGATTTATGTGTTCTGTTATACAATAATAAGAAATTATGATGCAGTAATGAGGTACACTAGTTTCAGCCTGGAACACACCCAGCTGCAGAACTGCTGAAGGAAAATTAGGACCTGCTATAAATCCAGCTGATACTTCAAGACAAATATTGGTTCTGCTGTGATTCAGGAAATCAATCTGAAATTAGTGAGGGTTTTTATTAAACAGCAGTCTTGCTGTCTGACTATAAATTAGCTCGGAATTTTTTTTTCATTGTTCTTATGGTAACATTTAATTCTTTTTTATTTTAAATGCATGATATATTTTTTAAACATGTGGTACAACATTTCAAGGGTTCTTCCTGTGATCAGTTGAAAACAGCTGCAGCAGCATCTTTCATTTTCTTTATGTTTTGAGCAAACACAGGAGAGTGTATCAAAATAAAATCTGTAGGCGTATTATAAAATCCCTACGATGTGCTAAATCCTCCTTGCTGACATCATACATTATGAAGCATTCGTACAAAGCATGTATGTTGTCAGTAGCAATTTGGCAGTTAGCAGTTTTGATTCTTGGTCTGCAACTATTGGTTACACCCACATCTAAGACTATATATGTGTTTTATCATGATATCATATTGTCAAATAAAAACATTTTTGAAAAAAATCTTATCTACTAACAGCTAAAATGTGTGTTGATAAAGTCATTAAGTTATAAGTTATAATTATCAATTCATTTATCAAACTGATCCTTAGATGTTAGCAGGCTTTGTACAGACAACAAGACAAAAAATAATATTTCATTAAGATTTTCCTACCTGATAAACTTTATGCTCAAACGATGTTAGCAGACTTCTTGGTAAAAGACAATTCTGTTCTTTTTGCGCATCACAAATCAGCTGCTGGTCATATAACCCATATATCACAATATATATGTATATTTTTTTATACTAGAACACAGTTTTTCACTTGCAAAAAAAAAAAAAATTGCTGTTTTTAAGTCCTGTTGTTTTACTTTAAAGTGTTTGTTTTTTGTTGGACAATTTGATTTATCAAATAATCCATTTGCACTAGCGGCGTTTTATGTTCCAAATGAAAGTTATTGAAATGAGATCCGCCTCTCAATGTTAGTGTTTACGTCTGCCAGAGCCACAGAGTCAGCAGAGTGTGGAAGTAGTGATGCTGATGTTGTACAAATTGCTAAACGGCTCTATTGATTCTTAGGACATCTCCTTAATTAACCTAGTCACTGTGAGCTATAAGGGCCACTGCTCATGCAGGACTACTCTGTTTTAAGAAGTTAGTAGTTCCATCAATTTATTTTAAAAATATGTCAACACAAGCCTGGAGATGGTGGCAGACAGAAACAAGAAAATATAAATGTGCAAAGCTCAAATTATATATTTATGTAGCTGTATATGCAAGGTTTAGGTCTTTATTCATTCTTGTTTTTGCAAATCATATCACAACATCTTACACAGGCCATACTATCATACTATTATACTATCATACACATAAAATCCTTGTCACTTTGACACAAAATGTGAGAGACTATTAAATTATGTTATTCCTAGCAGTGCTCCCATATAAAGGTAATCTATAGTATTATTTTACATGTTAGCAAATTTATTGGCTGCCCTTTTTTTTAAAAAAAAAAAGATGTCATGGTCCAGTTAGAGTCTATACCTGTTGTGCCCTGAGCATTTACATGGATGTGTTTTTATGCACCTCGTCTACTGCGCTATAAGATATTTGTATTTGTCTTAATCTATGAAGTTAAGAAGACATCACGTACGTGAATGAGGTTTTTGTGCTGATTTTGTCTCAGAATATTTGCTTCATGATACTGTGTTGATTTCTTCTTCTTGCGAGACACATAACATGTTTAAAAAGTCATAAAATCTATAATTCAGAGGCTGTGTGGCAGTTGAAGTAATCCTGCTTCACTGGCTATATTATCACTATGATGAGTGTATGATTCTTATTGTCATATGACGGTGAATCTGAGCCACTGCTGCGTTCCAGCACTTCTTTGCATGTCTGCCATCTGTTAGTCCTCCTGAACTCAGATCAATATATTATGAGGGGAAGTAGTTGATGAAGATGATCTTAAAGAAGGTCTGTTCATGTATGCAGACTTATTCTCTGCATGAGCAATAGATTTGTATGGCCGCTCCACACAGTCACTGCTTTTCCCTGTTGACATCCTGCATGGTGTGCTTTGCTTTGGTAGAAGGCTGGTGTTAATTTATTCATGAGCATTTCCCCGTCTGTGTCTGAGATGTCAAATGTGGGGGAGCAGCCCCACAGAAGATGCTCCCTTTTTCCAACACCTTTCTGGGCTTGCAGAGGTAAAGTTTTGACAGGCACAGATCTGAGCTCTGTCTTCAGTTTCTTCTTCCTGATTCAGAGTCTGTGTACGCACTCATACAGATGTGTACCCTCAGCTTTGCACCAGCTCCGTGTCTGCAGCCAGCAGCAGGAGGAGCAAAGCAACGTCGTCTGCTGTCGCCCTGTGAGAAAAGAGCAGTGCACAAACCCAATGATGCATAAGACTTCCTTATGTTCAGTGCATGTGTCTTTAAAATACTTTAAAAATGTGCTGAGTTATCTGAGTCATCACTACAAAAACCTCCCCCAAAAAAACAACAACAAAAAACTGACTCATTAATCGCTATGTGAAAGGAGTGACAGAAAGCAGGGGCTCTGACGCGTTTGTGCCTGCTGTTTTGATCCTCCTCCATCTGTAATTTTAGTGCTGTGAGAACACAGAGACTGCAGTGGCCCATCAGCCAATCAGAAAGCAGCTCTCAGCAGCAAATCAGATGCAGCATAACATACACGTACACACAAACCCCAAACACACAACTTGTTTTTATCAGCGCCTTTTGTTTGGGTATCAGTGTATACAAATGCATCACAGAACTTCAAACCTGCACACATCCTAATATAGCTTACAAAATAAATTAATAAAGTAGATATATAGTTTATTTATTTTCTAATTTCATCCCCTTACTTTGAAAGGAAATTTGAACTTTAGATACTCTTTGAGTTATCTTATCTATGGTTATCTTATCACTGCTGAAACACAAGTGCCTGTCTGCTGCTGCAGTTCTTGCAGTACTGCTGCCTGACCACCAGGGACTGGCAGAGGACTTGAATTTTAATGAGAAGAGATTTGCTTCTCTGTGTTTAAGTGAAGTCATTTATTCACATGTGCATTGCTAAGAAGTATAATTTTTATGAAAAAAATGCATTACAATAATTTAATTCAGAAGGTAAAACTCATATGTATATACATATCGATTTTACACTAAAGAGTTAATGGTTTAATGTAGTGTTTTTTATCTGTATGATGATTGACAGAAAATCTAAAGCCCAAATTCAGTTTATTAGCAAGTTTGAAAAGACCAATAACATATTTTTTTTTAATATATAACATGCTATGTCTGTGTAACGAATCAACAAAATCACAGGGAAATATTGAAGTTAGAAAATTGTCTAGTCATTGACAGCCTCCAGAAGGAATGTAAGCCACAAGGTGGGCCACGAATCCCACCTTGGGATTAATAAATCATTTTCAAATTGAAAACATTAAATTTCAAAATGTTCTCCATCTGTTGTTTGAACATTGAAGACAACTGGAGTTGTGTGTTCTCTGTAACAAGGAATTGTGTTAATGTGTTAGGTCATGTCCATGAGGTCTATCTCCAGGTTTTACCCATCAACTGGTCTGATCTTCATTATCATGGTTTTGAGAGAGTTGTCAAGCCCTTTGAAAGTCCTCCATTGCACACCAGCTGCATGGGGTGAAGGACCCCAGGTGTAGATGCCGTTTGGGTTGGCAGTGAAACAGCTCCCATACCAGAATCCACCATATGTAAGCCTGGCACAGTTTGAGCTATTCTCATCTTGATCTTTGTCGGTGGTCGTGAATTTCTTTCCATTGTGATAGCTTAGAGAGTCTCCTATTTGAAGAAAATCATATTTATTAAAAAATATTTACAGTCATTCTAAAAGCTATTGATTAAGAACAAGATGTCTTACCTGCTGATCCTTTTATGAAATTTCCCAGGTTTAGCTTGTATCCCTCAGATTCTGGACCAACGGAGAAAGCAGAATAATGAGCAAACACCTTCTGACCATCAAAGTCCTCCATGTCCACCCTCAGCTCATAGTTTCTGTCTTGGGTCAGCAGGTGCATTACTTCCAGGCCTAAAAAAAATAAACAGCAAACAAACTTTCAATGTTTAAGTGGACTGCTCGTAGTCAAGGTAAGGAAAGTATTATGTATATTTTTTAATCTAAATAAGCACAGAAAAAAAGAAAACAGACCAACAGCAGATATGTTTATTAAAAGTCTTTACATGGTGTGAATTTCTTCTTTTTTGCATGATTAGTTTTGTCATACCCAACCAGTACTCTCCAGCAGCATTCCCAAATCCAGATTTGTAATGATCCCACTTCATGAAGAAGTTGACTGTGCCATCATGTCTTCTCTGAATCACCTGATTTTAAACAAAGAAACAAAAATCATCATGCCCCCACAGTAATCCTTTCTTAAAATGGCTGAAATAAGCAGACACGCATGATTAGAACATCAAAATTTTAAGAAATTTGCCTTGTTAAAACCCCAGAATCTTAAGCTGTTGCTGTGTAGGTTAGGATTGAAGCAAGGGTGAGCAGCATCATGCTGAAACTGAACCAGCTGCCCGAGAGCTTCAGAAAGAAGATGGCAGCAGTTCCTGAGTCCATTAATTGTGGTCTCAAACAAATCTGAAATCACTGTGGGGGAAAAAAATCCTCAGGTGTAGATACTGTTTGGGTATCTGGTATGAATGCCAAAATCTGGCTATCCAACCAATTTCACCCTTAGGGCAGGTTGCAAGGTGCTAAAATTTGTCTAGAAAAATCCTATCCCATTTACAAATTTGCATTATTGTCGGCTTTAACAATAAAACCATAAACCAGCACATCTTCAAACTTATGATAAAGTAGCAGGGGGATAAAAGCCCAGACATAAACAGATGGGTGTCCTCTGGAAACAAAAAACAAGTTACTTGTTTGTTTCGTAGTGAACTTTGGTCGCTCATCCTCACCGTCCATTTTTCTGCAGAGCTACCAAGGTTATCATCTTTGTCCATGTCACAGTAGACCATCACAGGAGAGGTGGGGCCTGCTGGGTAGATGGTGTAAACTCCATCCAGACCCGAGCCGGACCTGTAGACGTCACTGCAGTCTCTGGGCCGAGGCGACTGATACGCAGCTGCCGGCAACAGCAACGCCAACACAACTCTGAGCTGCAGATTAGAGATAAAATACATAAATTAATTCTTCTGTTACTCTGAGGATGAAACAGAACAATAACATGAAGACAACAGGATTTAAAAGGAAACGCAGCACGCAGCTCAAAATACAGAATAAATTCAAGAAATTATATAAGAAAAAACAGATGCTTAGGAAAGTAAAATGCATTTTGATTCTGTAAAGGTATTTCTAAGAAAACAAATGTTAAACCAACGTAATTTTTTGCTTTTCATTATTCGATGTGTTGACTTAAAGTGCAGGAATAGGCTGATCAAGTAAGGCTGAAGAATATGTTCAATGTAAGAGGAAATCTTTGTGGTTGCAATGGCACTGAAAGTAAATTTTCTTTATTACAACTCTCACCATCATTGTGATATCAGCTCCTTTTATTTGGAAACACGACTAGCTGAAAAGAGAGCACATGCATATTGAATTATTTCTGAATTCAATTTACAGTTTCATTTAAACTGATCATTCATATTCTTACCCTATTTAGGAGAGTCGTCACACCACAATCAGTTTACTGGATGAACACATTCTTTTATATTACTGCAGCTCTGCTGGTTGCAACACTCTGTGTTTTCCCTGGTTTTCCCCTGAAGTCATACTGTTTATTTTCTCACTGATTTGGAAATATCGGTGTGTCGCATGTACAAATGCTATGACTGTGCTGCCTAAATCACTTCCTGATTAGTTTAACAGAAGTAAGGCAAAATCTTTGAGATTGGAGGGCTTCCTTGTCCTCACTTTAATTTTACCTCATTAAGGAATTTGGCTGGGGCCACTCCAAAACATTGTTACTTCTAGATATAAGAAATATGACAGTAATTCTCATATAATGATTCATGTGCCTGATTTTCTGCTTCCAGCAGGAAATTTCATGTAGTGCAGAGGAAAGTTATTGGTCAGTTAAAAGGTGTTTTGCCTTTCCGGGGCTCCTTCATGATGAGGATTGTGGGTCAAACGTGGGTCAGCTACTCTGGGAGGTTTTCATCATTTTGAAGCTGGTTCATCTTTGCTTCCAGGTGTTTTTGGAGTGCATTTAGACTTGAGAATCAGTATGACTCCCTAGTGATACGATGGTCTAACATATATTTCACTGCTTTGAGAATGCTTCCAGAAAGGGAGAAACCTCTCTACTAAAAGCTGTTTTTGCTGGATACAAATATGTGGCACCAATCTAAAAGAATAATAAGCATGCTTTCCAGTGGTATGAGTTGTGCTGGCTAGAAGCATTTTGACAAGAAAGAAAAAAAATTCAACTAAGCACTAATGTCTTACTTTTTGTGGAATGTCCAGGTATGGGTAGGTCAGATGATGAATCCAAGAGTTCTCCATTAGATGTTTAAGTCGTTGAATATTGTTTTTTTAACCCAATCTTTTCCACAAGGTTTTTGATGACCTGTCTGCTGTGTTTTGTTGTTTTCATGATGCTCTTTGTTGGTTGATTTCAGATAATATATAAGTAAGTAAGTCAATATTATTTTTTACATAGCAACTTTCTCAGACAGCAATCACACAGTGCTTAGTAGAAAAAGTACAAATCTGTAAAAGCAATAAAAGCACATATAAATGTGTTTTTATTGCCTTTACTACATTAAAAAAACTGACTTCCACTTCTGCTATTTTTGAGAATTTTATTTATGAAACATGTTGAATTTTGAGTTTTACTTTTCTTTCCTTTGATAATTATGAACTGCTTTGTTTCTTATAAAATCCCAAGTAGATCAAAGGTTTGTTAGAATGGAATTAATGTAAAAATAAAGGCTCAGAATTGGATAAACGCAACAGGACATATTCAACCTTTCCCAGTCGGTGGTATAATTTAGTCACATACAGAGCAGCATGTTGTCCTCAGAGTTCTTGTTGCTCCAGTGAGAGCTTGTTCCAGATTGACGTTGAAGCTTTTCTTTCTTGTTCTGGACTTTCTCACTCATAGCCAGGTATTTTTAGCTTTGACAAAATACCCCTATCGCCCTCTCTTCCTCTCTCTCACTTTCTCTCTCTCTCTGTGAGGACCTCCCCTCTCCCTCTCTTTTCTTGCCCCCATCCCTCTCTCCCTGGCTTCCAGGCCAGGACTAGCTACCACAGTCATTGACTGCTCAGGTTTCACACTTTAAGCTGCAGGCTGACAAACATGGCAGTGGAGGAAGCAGCAGAATTCTTGGCAGAAGTAAGTCCTCACTGTACTTTACTGTAACATCATTGACTGTAATCAGGCTTCATCTCTCGTAATGGATTCTACACACATGCTAACGTGTGTAGAATCCATAGGGGTGGGACTCAGTGATGCCATGGAGGCTACTGGTTGAGCGATGGGACATTAGTGGTTGATGTTATAGGCTGAGCTGATGGGACAGGTCGCAGTGATAACTTTACTGCACCACTCTGCTGCAGTGCACGGCTGTGTAGATGTGAATGTATGGGTATGTCTCAGTGTAACCTTTCACTCTGATTATACATTTATAAATGCCTGCTGCGTTTATGCTACAGAGTATGGACATTCAGAGTTCTGCATATGCTGTTTTATGTTACATGCTAATATAGATAGAGGCATCTGACCTTGGACACTGGAACAAACCAGTGTGTTTGTGGGAATAGAAGTGAAAAAACTCAGGCAGGAGAAATTAAAATAAATCAGACAACAAGGTTGATGTTGATGTTTGACTAATAATTGCAGCATTAGCTTAAAGGACAAAAGCCAGTTGTCACAGTGTGAAACAGTGACAGTGATATGCGATATGCACTATGCAGTATAAGCCTTCTTAAAGGGATAGTTCAGATTTTCTCAACTGAGATCATGGGAATTAGGTATGAACAGTCTGTGTCTTATCTACCTCAGATATTTTTTCATTGAGGAGTTGATTTCACGTCACAAGAACACACAAAGAGAAAAACTAAATAATACCATGCATAAAGAGGCGAAAAATCATGGCTTCGCTTGTACAGTGTTTGGATTGATGGATATTTGGACATAATTCTTGTCTATTTCTTAATTATAAAGCTTTAATAGTTTACTCATAGGATTAGCCTGTATTTAACTCCATCTATTTTCAAGCAACTCTGACAAGCTTCTCTGTCCTTACTAAAGTAGAGGACCCTCAAAGTAATTTACTTCCCCCTCCTTATTCAGGACAAGTTGCAATTTTTTGACTTTTTTCTTGTGTTTCCCTTAATCTTTGCGGTGTTTTTATGTACTGATATTCTCTAAATGTCCTCTGAGACCTTCGCAGAACAGCTGGATTCATACAGATTAAATTACTCAGACTAGAGGGAGCTGAACTCATGTGATCACTCCACTTGACAGCTTTCCATTCATAAATGTTTTTATAAATTATGTATAATTCTCATTTCACTTGCAATTAATTACTTATCCATGTTGTCTTTATCCATGTCATAAAATGTATTACAATTTGCAACAAGGTATACTCCAACAGAAAATCTCCTCAGTAACATAATTTTTTTTAAACTAATTGCATAAGCAATTACATTCTTAGATTATTGCTTGTTAAAAAAAAAAAAGTTTTATTTCTGTTGGTTTAATGTTTATTAAATACGTTGCAGTAACCTCTCACATAAATTTCTATTGATTTGTTTTTAGGTTTTTTGTAACACAACAAAATGTCAAATAATAATAATAATAATAATAATAATAATAATAATAATAATAATAATAATAATAATAATAATAATAATAATACATTGAATACTTCTGTGAAGTATCTATAAGAACAGGTCTTGTTTTTAAAGATCTTGACTTTCCTGTTACACTTTTAGTCTCCTAATGTGACAAAAGGCTATAACTTCCCCTTTGTGTTTTTTTCTTTATGTAATATCATGCCACTCAGGTTTTCATGCATTGCTGTCTATAATGTAGTCGTAAGTACTGGCAGCTGAAGATGGTCCATTTGAACTCCAAGTACTTTTGAATTTATTTATTTTTTTGTAGTTTTTTTCTTTTTTTACTGTAAAGAAACAACCACAATCATTACACATTATGGAATAGATGTTGTTTCCTTCTCCACATATAGTCACCATTTGTTCCTTCTATCTTAACCCAGTTTGTGACTAAACTTGTTAACATCATTAAACTGTATTATTATTTTTGCCTCTGTAATTGGTATGTTCTTTGTACTTTTACCTGTGATAACCCCCGCAGTCTGGATGGTGTAATACTGTGATGAGCAACACAGTGATAGTTTGACACCAACTAGTGACAGATAGAGGCACAGAGGAAATCATTCAGTTTCATATGTTATTGGAGGAATTATATGAAGGTTCTCTTAAACAGGAAGGCACTGTCGGGACCATTTCCATTAATCACCTGATGACTGACATGAATATGTAAACTGGTATGCTTATCACTGTTATTTAAACTCTAGCTTTGTTACTTACTTTCTGAGTATTTTTTAAACACTAAAAAAACTTTAATTTCTGCAAATGCGTCAATCCATTGCGTTACTTACCCTTAAGTCTGAGTGAAGTTGTGTTTCCAAACCTTTGAGTTTGAGTCCGTTTTCATATATACTTCTCACAGACATGGTTGCCAGGACAATTTGGTCTTTTTTCTAATTCATTGGAACCATGGTGGACTGATTAACACCTATTAAGTGGTTTTCAGAAACAAGAATTTTTTGAGTTACTTGGAATTTTATTCTAATCCACAAAAGGCTTTCAATTATACATATAGGTTGAAATAAATACTCAGTCCTCACTCATTTTTTTTGTCCAATGACCTTTGACAGCTATGAAAGATACCTCAAACTTTTTCTAGCCACCTAATAAAATTTTTGCCATATTTCCAGCTGGCTATTTGAACACTTTTCTTTGCTGAATTGTTAGAGTTCAAATAAACTGATTGATTTTCTGGCACTTGTGTGACTTTTAATCATAGGCCACACAATTTTAATAGGCTTGATGTAAGAGCTATTCCAGAAACAAAAAGTTAGCTGGCTTTCTTGATTCTTGATGTTTGGGTTTATTACCATCAAATTTCAACCATTGGGCTTCAGGAGGAGCCCAGATCTGAGACATCTTCAGTTGTAGTAATTATGCATAAAAGTGGGGTCCCTCAGAGTTAACCAACTAAATTAAATAAATTCCATCAGTTATGTCAAAAATAGTGGTCAAACATTCAGTCAAAATTATTCCAGGAGCATTTTCATAGTTACAAAGCTGTGTGGTTTCTTTGCGACCCAAGGAAAGACATTTGTGTCTACCGTTCAATCCAGCTAGCTTTCTTTCACCTTTTGACCTAAAATTTAAGTTAAGATCTATAATTGAAATGCAGCTGTTTACATCAATCAAGTGAACAAGTTATGTACTTGTTGTTTTCAGAAACTTGGCACAAAGATTTTATTTTATTTTTTTAACAAGCAGGACAAATCGACTTTTTAGTTACAATCTTCAGCCTACAAAGCCTCATGTTTACTTTTACACAAGATGAAAAATGTGTGTCAGTCTAGTTTAATCAACGACGATGAATGCATGGCTTTCCTAATGGCTGGAGTAGTTTTTATGAGGGT